TAAGACCCCGCGGTGCGCTCGTGTGATTTAGAACGTCGAAGAGAAGTCTGGCGGCGGCGGCAATGTTGTTGCACCGCACACCGCCGCCGCAGCACCCCACCACGATACGCGGCACGGCCGCCAAAGACGGACGACCGCGGCGGAATCGGTCCGGCAAAGCGGTTTCCCCGCCGCCGCCACAACCGTTCGCCGGTCCACCGCGGTCGGTACCTGTTTCGCCGGTCGTCTTGAGCGCTGCTCCTCGTCGCGTCTCGTTAAAAACGTTTTTCCCTCCACACCCCCCGAGGTCGACGGTGTTCGCAGTTTTCCGGTTTCGTCAAAGTTTTGGTCGAGAGGTTTAGTGTGTGTGTACTACGCCGCGCCGTCCGCAGGGCCGCCGAGCGCGTGTAACTCATCCGCTGCCGCCGGACCATCTGTCGTCGAAGAGCTATGGAAACCTCCGGATACGCGACGACGTGACCCGCCGACAACGCCATCATGTACTCGGCGCGAAATCGGAACGCCATGATCACAGGTGAGTCCAGCCGACTGCAGTACAATATAGTACGCATTAATTGTATATCCGTGAACGGGGTGGGTATGGGCAGTGGGTACAGATGACAAACCCACTTTGACCGACGGAGTAAAAGTTCAGATCGCCGGTCCAGTATGCCGTGGCCCTCAACCCACCCACATAGGTATAWCCCGCCCACGGAAAAACCACCAAAGGCACCATTGCGAACCGTGGTTATAAATAACAGCTGAGGTGTTCCCATTAATTTGTTTGACAGTATACTACATCATAAAATATAAACATGTAATACAATAAAAATAATTTTCTTGTGGTTCATAGGAGTAAAGCCGGTAAAGATCGTGTCAATAATATGGAAACAATTTTAAACCAAATTTTTCATACGTCCATCCTCTTTATATTACGTATATTTCGTCAATCTTTGCAAATATTGTAGGTATAATAATGGTATAATATCGATTATGATTGAGAGCATACGCAGTATTATAATATCCATAATATTGAAAAAAAATCTTGAGAGTATACGGCCTATAATATGTTCCTATGGTAACACCCCTGAATAACATTTACTTTGGCAGGGGCGGGTTTAAGGGGGGTGGCTAAGGGGGCAGTAGCCCCCTCTCTTTGGAACTAAGCTAACTATTTTACATAGCCAAGTATTATGATAATAATATAATGGTATATATTAATAATTGTTTTTCGTTCGACGTCTGACATGAGTACATGACGTGTAATATTATTATGAAAATTCACGTGGAGCCCAGTTTAATAATGTTAGTAATAATTATATATATTAGTTATTAATTAAAAAAAAATGACTTACTTATGAGGGACTCAAAAACATAATCTGTAATTTTAAATTTTATATAGATTTAAAAAACAACTAACTAAATTCTTGAACCTGCTAATAGCCCCCCCCCCCACACTTGGTGAGTGATAAAACCCGCGGGTATTATGATAGTAATATTACGTAGAGCAGATATTATTATGATTAGTACGGTCGTCTAAAAGCATAAAATCGTATTATTATTATTATGTTATTGTTATTTGGTGTGAAATTACCGTCGGCGTTGCGCKGACGACGACCGCGACCGGATGGTGTAGGCAAAACCAGTGTTACATAAATCATGGTGTCGCAGACCGTCGCCGTTATACTTACCTACTGCTGCACTGCAGCCATACGGTTTAACAACAATAATAATAATAGTTGTATTAATATCGGTTTGGTACGCGCAACAGGATATCTGAAATAAACGTCATGCGTGTACCCGCGGGTAGGTGTCGTCCGCGCGTGGGATTCGTGTGTGGTTGGCACCGCGACGACGACGACGGCCCGGCGCGACTGCCGTCGTCTCGCGGTAATAATATTTCATCGCCACGCTTTCCTGGAAACGCGCGGGCCGCTACGAGTCTCGCTCCGATTCTGATCAGCCCCCACCCACCGGCTCATCCTAAATTCACCTCGGCACATTTCGTGTTTTATACATTTTTTTTCCACCCTCTGGGCCGAACACGACGACCCTGTCGTACCCATACAAAACGCGATATCATTGTGTGCGTATATTAATATTATACAGGTAGGTACCGCAGAACGTGCGCGCACATTATTATTAAATTTTACGGTATGTCGGTATACCCATATATATAAATATATCTATTAAATATGTGCCCGCGGCGCACGTAATATCGAATCTCGAATCGATTTCTTTAGGAAAAAAAAACCGACCGTCGGTTTTTATTTTGTATTTTTTCTCCGAACATTTTCGGTCCCAGTCGGTGCAAGACGTG